GTAGAGAGAGAGAGAGCGAAGTTTATCCCTCAACAGTTTCAATTTTTGAAGAACTTCAGCATTTGTACCAGCATGAATAAGAAACAAATGAAAACATTGTTCATAAGCAACCACTCCCAGTCCTTTGCTATTAATCCATAAAACTAAACTTGAAAAACCCAATCAAAGGAAAATGGTAGGAAATTAGATCAAATATGCACATTCCTCTTAAGAAGCTCTGATCACTTACAGTGTACATGATTGAAGGTGTTATTAACAAGTCAACAAATGCCCCCAAAAATAAAAATTTAAATTCAATGAAATGTGATTGATATAATTAGAAGATGACCACCTTTCTTTTCCACCTCCAATCTTGAGCAATTCACCATATAATTCAACATCCCAACTTACTCCCAATCCCCTCTGCACAATGAGAAAGAGAGATGGAAAAAAAAGAAAAGAAAACCAAAATGCAAGAAAAAAAACTGATGGAAAGAGAAGAAAAAAGTAGAGAAAATGGCACCAATTAAAACAAAAAAACCCAAACCAAAACATCTGAGAAAGAAGAGAGAGCGAGGTGATCAGACCTCCTGGAAAGTTTCATTAAAGGAAATTCGGTGACCATCTTTCTCTGTGTCAACTAGCACACCGTCGCAGTCAAAGAGGAGAGCTTCAGGAAGGCTAGAGGCTCTGCAAATGAAGCTTCTCCTACCATTTCGACACAATTCTCGAACCCCAATTTGTCTCCTGCTTCCTCTGTAACCAAGGAATGCGGCATGGAACTGGAGGCCAGAAGGACCTCTATAACTGACCAAAGGTTGTAGCTTTGATGCAGAGGAATTCGGGTTTTGGAGAAGGCTCGAGAAACACAGAAAAGAAGATGAAGAAGAGAGAGAAACCGCCATTTTTGTTACAAGGGGAGAGAGAGAGAGAGGAGAGAGAGATTTGCTTTGATATGTGTTAACTGGAACCACAAGCTGCATGTTTCGTCATCCAAAGCGATAAAAACAGTAAAAGTTCGAAATGGCTTGGTAAACTCCCAAATAAATGGACTATAAAGATGCTGGGATGTATTGTTACGGAACGCCTATTCGGGAAAATGAATATTATTTTTACCTATAGGTTTGCTGCGGTCTGATTTTTTTTTGAACGGCGCGGAAAAATTGATTGGATGCAAAACTGCAACAGCTCTACGATAGCCGTTGCAACTTTTCAAGCTAAACCGCAATGGCTCTCAAGGGCTCTACGAAAGCGAAAACACTATACACTGTCGCCCCATGGCATTTTTAAGCGTTTTGAAGAGTGTAAATATTAAGTGCCATTTCAAAGAACGTAATGTGCTATGTGGGTTTGGGTTTTGAAATTGAATCACAGTTCTAACCCTGTGAAAATGAGAAATCAATTTTGCCACTATATCGAATCACATTTCTAAGTTCTAACCCCGTGAAAATGAGATATCAACTTCGCCACTGTATTCAAATAGAAGTTTCTTATGTGGGCACAACTCTTGAGTTTTTAAAAAGTATTTTACTTGGCTTAGTTGTATCTGGAAAGTATACTCATTGAAGGTATACTCATCTAGATGCGATAGCATCTCATAGATTCTGAGCTCGCCTGATTAATACCTGAGGAAACCAAGAGAATCTCGTGCCTTGGGTTTCACAGCAAAGCATAGGCAAAGGTTTCAAAAAAATAATGTTTGGAAAACTTTTTTTTTTGTTTGATAAAAAAGTCGAGTTCACAAATGCAAGTGGTTCAGAGTCCATTCGGCATACATGACCAAATTTTGAACTCAAGTATTTTTCACTCAATTGCGACTTCCTCCATTTTTGGAGTTGTCGCTGTAAATGTGGTTGAGAAAGCATTTTTCTCATTGAAGTTGAGACAACACACATTAGCTAAGTGAGCTACACAGAACTTGCCCAAAAAAAAAGTGAGCTACACAGACTCCTAGAAACTTGCTTTAGCCATGTCAAAGGATTTAAAATCTGAAGATTCAAAGGTCCTATTTGCTTTGGCTCTGATATTAATTTTGGTCGTGTTCAAGCAACACAATTTCTTTGACCTCAGTTAACCAATCCTCTGTGTTTTTGCTTTTGTTTTGGACCTCTCAATTTTTGGGTGAGGAACAGAGCATTTAGGACCCTGGCTACGGTTAACCATTTTTCATGTATTTAGGCTCTTCATGAAATTTCAATACCTCAATAGTCTATAATTTGGCTTTATAGGACCCCTGGAGCCAAACCTTTAATGCATTAATTAAAACAGAGATGGCCTCGAATGTGCCCAAGCTCATGAATTAAGAAGTTGATTGTTTAGTCGAGTTCGATGGCATAAACTTCAAGAGATGGTAGCAGATAGTTCATTTTGTATTGCTCCTAAGACTACAATTGTACAATTGATGTACACTCTCTGAAGCTGACCCCTTGGCATGAAGCTGACCCCTTGGCATCTTAGACTCAACCATCATTTGCAAATGAAGAATCCTGAATTCAAATAATAGAGGATTATTACATTCGTAAAGGGAAATATTTTTAATGCCTTTAGTAATCCCTTATTGGACTTGTATTTAGTGATGCTCATAGATAAATAGATCTGGTAAACTCTTGAAAATAAATGCATGTCAGTGGATGTCAGTAGGAAGAAATTCTATATAAATCAAAACCTCGACTTCAAAGCTAATGGTGACTAGTTCTTGAGGGGGTGGATGAACAATATGTTATCACCAACGAGATAATCTAGGGTGACATGAAGCTAGATAGCAATAATTATTGTTAATCTGTTACTACCTTGGAAGGACTACAAAAGTGTCTTGAAGCATAAATATGCGGATACTACCATAGAAGAGCACTACCTCTGTATTGAGGAGGAGACTTGACTCCGTGACAGAAAGGCTGAGAGATCAGAGCTAGTTGTAGAAGGCCTAAGGAAGACTTGGAGGAATTAGAATAAGTGAGAGGTCAGAGCTAGCCTTTCACTTGTGAGCATCTAGAATCATTAATGTAGGTGTTCTAAATCTAAATAAGTCAAGCTTTTAATCTTCTTTATCATTTCAATCATAATGGGTAAAAACCTTCAATTCAAGTTCAATTTCAAGCTCGCTTTCAAATTGAAGAAATCATATGCAAATTCCGTCAATCCAATCCATGACCCAACTCCTGGTGATGGGCATATGAATCTAGTTTGGTTAGGTTTTGTTCCTTCCTTTCTGGTTTATTTTTTTTATTATTCTATTTTCATGTTTTTTTATCAATTATTTGTTCTATCATGTCTATTTAAAATTCAAGTTTACTTAAAGGGTTCTAAGCGAGATCTAGCTAGTGCAACTAGCAGTTAAGGGAAAAAAAAAGATTATAATCAATTTTTTGTCTATCATAATTTTACTAGACCTAGATTTTTAATGTTTTTCAATGCTAAAATTGTCTTAGTTTGCGTACAATCTTATAAGGAGAACTAATTGATTTTCTTACATGATACAGGTACAAACAACAACATTAAAAGTCCAATATCAGACCATGTGTAATTTGGAAAAGTAGAAACATTCACTGGGGTTTTTCAGAGTTTGGGGTGGTCTTGCTTAGTTTAACTACCTAACCTTGAAAGGCCAAAGCTTGGACCAAGATTTTAAAATGTACTTTTCTAGGATAAGTAGTGAAAAACAAAGCCTATGATTTTCCAGACTTAGAATCAAATTTGATTTGGAAATTAGGGATAGAGAATTTTGAAACATATTTTTCCTGGTGGACAAGTTAATGAATGTGGAAACTAGCATGTGGGACAAGGTCATGAGGAACATGATAGTTTTGAAGATCTAGAACTCATAAGAAGTAAGAGAGCCAGAAGACCAACTAAGTCTAGTCCAGACTTCATGACTTATTTTCTAGAAGAGCCTCTGCAAGCCATATCATCACGCAATGCTCCCTTCTTGAAGGAAGCAATTAATGATGAGATGGATTATGCATTGTCCAATGGATCTTAGAAGCTTGTTGCCTTACCTACTGTTTCTAAGGCTTTACGCTGTAACAAATTTTCAAAAGGTTTTGATTAGAAAGAAACCATTATGCTTCTTTGATACCTATACAATAGTTGCTAGAATGACTACCATCCAGGTACTCATAGCTTCGGCTTCAATATACCATCCCAAAATTTATGAAATGGATATTAAGATCATGTTTTTAAATGGTGAACTTGATGAAAAAACATATATACAGAAATTCTAAGGGTTTGTCCTTAAGAGGACAGAAACACAAGGTGTGCAAACTTGTGAGTTCCTTATAGAAACTGAAACAAGCGCCAAATTTTTTGACAAAGTTATTTTCTATCTCATGGAGTCTACATCAGTGAGTCTGACAGTTGTGTCTATGCCAAAGTCTTGGTTGGTGCTACTGTGATTTTACGCATATATTTAGATGACATGCTCATACATGACAGTAATTCTCATGATGAGACTAAGAATGTATTGCTATGAAGGGCATGAGATATACTAATGTTAATTTTAGAAGCATGGTAGTGATAAAAACTTTGGTAGTTTAGTATCTCAACTAGAATACCCCAAAGTCATTGGTTGCACAATGTAAATACTGCATTGGACTTGATTTTGTTTATGCAGTGAGTAAACATAGTAGAATCACCAACAATCGAGGTCGGGAGCATTGAATATAGTCCCTAGGGGTGTGATATGTCAAAGGGATCATGGACTATGGTATTCATTATGTACGTGAAACAGCTATCCTAGAAGGATAGAGAAATGCAAAGTGGATGTCGTATTAAAATGAATTCAAGTACCAGTGGTTGGATTTTCACTTATGGTGTGGGTGCTATTGCGTGGGGCTCAAGCAGGCTTATAAATCATACCAATCACACAATAGCCTATTCTTGTAGTCTCAATTTACTATGATTGTTTGAAGCACAATCAATTGAAACAGCTACTCAATGATGGAGTAATTAGGATAGACCATATAAGGCTATACAGAAATTGGCATATCCATTAACCAAAGGCCTTGCAAACGACCCCATCTAGAATACAACTAAAGGGATAAAATTGAGGCACACTCAGGACACGTCACAAAATAATAGGATCCCCACCTCATTGACAAGGATATCCTAAGTCCTAGATTTAAGTGGTAAAATAAGTCATTTGTATGACAGTTTGAAAGCATCACTATTTATAAACAAATAAATTAGAGCAATTGATACCTTGTGGCCGCATCCCTTGTTGTATGGCATAGATAATTGCAACATAGAGGAAGTTGAACTTAGAGTCCATTGATGTTAATGAAGTAGGCCTAGGTTGGGTTCTTGACTTGCAGGGACCCTCCTAATAAATTCACGTATATGAGTATGGAAGTGGGGATGCTTTCAAGCACTCATGAAAAGCTAAGATACGGTGCACAAAGCCAAGACAAATGTGTAGTCAATTGAAAAACAATATTGAGCCAAAAAGATAAGTGAAATGTTTCTATACTTCCCCTACAACATAGAAGATCTGTACTTCCCCTACCATCCAGCCGTCTAATTTTGATCAAGAGAGTTGTTAACCGTTTGATTTTAGATCCGACGTCTCAAAGTATTTTAGTTTTAGTTTTTTTATACAAATTGTATGGATATGAAATTTGGTAATGCCATATTCTCATTGGGGCTCACCTATTAAAAATAATTTTTCAATAAAATATAATGATCAAAATATCCGTTGAAAATATTTTGGTCATTTTAGCTTATTGAAAATATTTATTTTATATTTTTCGCTAGTGCGAGTTTAATAGAGGATTGGACATACAAAATTTGGTATCAAAATAGTTTATATGAAAAAATTAAAAATAAAATACTGTAGAGACGTGATATTATGATTGAGGCAATCTTAGTCCTCAATTCAGAATGGACGGTTGGATAAGGGGAAGCATATAAGTTTTATGTTGTAGGGGAAGCATAGAAAGCTTGCCCCATACGTAATAGGCATTATCTTTCAGGCAAGCTTTCTATGCTTCCCCTACAACAAAAAACTTATATACTTCCCTTTATCCAACCATCCATTCTAAATGAAGGGCTAAGATTGCGCTAATCACAATGTCATGTCTCTAGTTTTATTTTTAATTTTTTTTATATAAATTATTTTCACACCAAATTTTGGGCATCCAATCTTCTATTAAACACGCACTTCTAAAAAAATATTACCAATAAAATCAAATGACCAAAATACCCCTAAAAGCTTCAAGGGGTATTTTGGTCATTATATTTTACCAAAAATTTATTTTTAATATTTTGAATGTGGCACATACTAAATTTTATATTCATCCAATTTGTATAAAAGAATTAAAAATAAAATACTCAGAAGCATCGGATCTAAGGTCAAACGGTGAGTGGCTCACTTGATCTAAATTGGACGGCTGGATGGTAGGGAAGCGTAAATCTTTTATACTGTAGGGGGAATATAGGAACCTTTCCCTTTATGTAGGGGGGCGATCTACTAGTCAAGTCTTTAGAAAACTTCTCTTGATGCATTGTCCTGTCTGATTTGGCTGCTCATAGTCAAGCTCCTTTGCGAGAGGTGAGGCATCATTAATTTGAGTTGAAAAGCAAATTGTGAAGATCTTTCAATTTCATGTCTAATCAACCCATTAGTTTAACCACTTTGTACCCATTTTTTTGCAGTTGAGTTTGAGTTCCTTTTCAAACTATTGGAAGTATGTTTTCCCACCTTTTCAAAGCGTTGGTAGTTTGTCCTTCATGGCTTTTGACTGCGGTTAACAGAGTAGGCACCAACCGCTCCTAACTTTTGTACTCTTGATTCACAGATTTTGGAGTTTTGGACACAACTAAGTTCTTTAACAACCCCTAACTATTCAATATTAAGACATTATACCTACTTCTAGATATCCCAAAATTCAAATTGTTGGCAATCTTAGAGAAATTGGTCTCTATGCATTTCGATCTTGATTAATTGGAAATTGTTGATTTTTCTCTATTTCTTCGAGTATTTCTTATGAAATATGTTTTCCTAAGTTTGAAATCGAATCCATGCAGCTAAATGATAATCAATTTGACCCCTGTTAAGAAGTTTCTCAAAGAGTGCAACTCCAAAAAAATACCAAGTATTTCACTTGGCTCAGTTGTATGTATAGTATACTCATTTAGACTCAACTTGCATCTCCGAGAATCTGAGTTGAGGGTTAGAATATATCATACATTGAGGTCCAAGCACAACCAAATCTGCTGTCGAAAAGATAAGTGTTTGAGGACCTTGTGCTTGGTATATTATATGTAGATAAATAATTTGGCGCAAAACCAAAATTGTTTTCGAGAAGTTAGTGTTTGAAGACCTTGTGCTTGTTATTTTATATATAGATGAAGATTTTGAGTTCAGAGATCCATTGGGTGTGTAGTTTGACTGGCTTATATGAACCAAGTTTGCATTATAATATGGCAAAAGCTTATATCGAGCCTTGGCTCTAAACAATCAAATTAGAGCATACCTCAAACATTTCATTAGAAGAGGCCGTTTTGATGCTCAAATATCATCAAATTGATCATCTCGACATCAAAATGAATGGAAATGAGAAAAAAATAGATTTCAAGTTTTGAAAATAGTGCATATTGTAATGTATTTTTTGACCGTCAATATTCAAGATTTTCAGTTTTCATAGATCTGCTCGATCTACACTATTTTTTAATCTTTAAATTTTATAATTAAAGATGAAAATATATTTAAAAGCTATTACAAAAATGTCTAGCATTGAAACTATATTTCTCGACACTATTTGAAGGTAGGCTCAAATTTGATTATTTAGGGCCTCAATTCTATACCAACCGCACCCTTATAATATTTCACTTGGCTAAGTAATTCAAAGATCCCATTTGCATAATTTGTTTTGGATGAAATATTTTTTGAAAAAAATTTCACGCAAAAAAATTCCATCATGTGGTTAGATATGAGAATATTTTCACATCAATTAGTCTCAATGCAATTTTTCATACCAATTGACAGCTAATTGATGTAAAAACATTCACACCTAACCACATGAAAGAATTTTTTTACTATTCACTCAAGTTGCAAGTTGCAAATTCCTCCTCAGAGTTCTCGTTATAAGTATAGTTGAGAGAGCGCTTTCTCCCTGTAGATGACAAGCAAAGGAACTCGCTTCCAACATCAGCTGTGCAGAGTGCTGCAAGTTCTGAAAATTTATGTGTTCCTTTTGCTGTGGTTTGGGTTGAAAACTATGAATTTTTTTGCCCCAATCAAGCAAACAATCAATATTTTCAATAAGGTACCATCGTCCTTTTACATCTGTGACTAAGCCTCAATGCTCCATTTACCTTTTTAGACTTCCCGAGCTTTAGCAGCAGTGTAACAGTTTCACAATTTTTGCATGTTACTGCAATCTCTCTCTCTCTCATTGAGCCCTGCAGAACATTGCATTTTTCTCCACTTTTTCATGGTAGACACTTGGCCTTAAAAAAAAAAAAAAAAAACACTAATTTAATCTTTTATTTCAAGGAGCCCAAACTAGACTTCCAGTTGGCAACTCGTACAAAGATTGGACATGAATAAACAATTCAAAACCCTCATAACTTCAAAAAAAATTAAACAAATGGAAGAAGGATGACACATAATTCATCTATTTCTTTTTAGAAATGTTGAATCTAACTTTTATATATAGTTTGATCATGTCTATCAGAAGGGGGATAAATTTTTCAAAAAAAGCAAAAAATACAGAAATCAAATTCCATCACATTCCACAGGGAAACATTTTAGTCTCGAGCTTCAATTAACACTAGGATAAAAAACCCACTCAACAAGTATACCGCTTTGTTTATTTTTCTTTCTGATGTCACGATGAAATATATGTGGTTGAGAGAGAGAGAGAGAGAGAGAGAGAGAGAGACACTAAAAGTAAGTGACTATACTAAGTAAGTAAGTTAAGTTAGTAGAAACGAAAAACGAAAAAGACGAAACAAAACGAAACGTAACTTAACTTAACCC